ATGAAGAGAATTATACACATGTGTCAGGGCTGTTATGTGAAATCCCTTTTTTTTTCCCCTCTGTACATGGCTTTTATTATTTACATAATACAATATAGCATCAATGCCGAATAGCATGATTATGTGCAATACATAAATACGAACTATCCGTACACATCTGCAGATCTAACTCAGAACTAAAGTGCATAAAATTGAAAGCAAAACTGAATACTTTAAGAATCAAAGTACAAACTAGGATGAACACTGCAGTAAATCCGTAGTGCCCTGTGTTACAGAGAAATAATGCACATAAGACATTTGACACACAGTAGGCATTTCTTCCCTTTTTAAGAGACAGGATCTCAATCTGTTGCCCAGGCTGGAGGCCAGTGGTACAATCATAGCTCACTGCAGCCTCCAACTCCTGGGGTCAAGTGATCCTCCTGCCTCAGCCTTCCAAGTAGTGGGACTTATAGGCATGCACTACCACGCCTGGCTGATTTTTTAAATTTTTTGTGGAGATGAGGTCATGCTATGTTGCTCAGGATGGCTTCAAAGCTATCTTCTATCCTCCTTCCTTGGCCTCCCAAAGTGCTGGGGTTACAGGTGTGAGCCACCACACCCAGCCGGCACTTCCTACGTAGTAGCAATTATTATATTTTTTCAAATGTATTAGCTTGCATATTTAAAGGTGAATCTCATTTCATTGTTTCTTCTCTAATGGATGGTTTTTCTTTTCTTTTCTTTTCTTTTTTTTTGAGACAAGGTCTCACTCTGTTGCCTGGGCTAGAGTTTAGTGGTATCATTATAGCTCACTGTAGCCTCCAACTCCTGAGCTCAAGTGATCCTCCTGCCTCTGCCTCCCAAATAGCTGGGACTATAGGCATGTGCTACCACACTTGGCTAATTTTTCTATTTTTTATAGAGACGGGGTCTCCTCGCTCTTCCTTGGGCTGGTCTTGAACTCCTGGCCTCAAGTGATCCTCCCTCCTTGGCCTCCCAAAGTGCTGAGGATTACAGGTGGGAGCCATCATGCCTGGCCTGGGTAGTTTTTTTGTTTGTTTTTCTACTTGACTGCAATTAAGCCCCTGACCTCTGCCCTCTCCTCCCTAGTTCGTCTGAGGTTTAGGTAGATTTGATTGGATGTGGAATAGGAGCCACTCTAAGGCTCTTAACCGGAAAGGGATGACTGAGCTGATCTTCTCCATGCAGGGTCATTCCAGACCACGTTCAAATAAAAGCCATAACAGTAAAGATCGAAGTCCTAGGAACCTAGTCCATTAGACTGGGCAGGATCCTCCAAGAACACCTTGTCTAGTCCTCTTACATTATAGCTGGGGACTCTGAGGCTAGAGATGGAAGAGCCATGTCCATTTGGGCAGCTGGATGATGGACCCCGTCAGAGGGCTTCTGGGAAGACTGGGCCTGGAAGCAAGAGGCATCCCTTTCTCACCCCCCTGGAGGGCTGCATGGGGCTGGGACTCACACGACTGCTGGGTTGGAGCACTTGCCACTGGTGTAGAAATACTCCTTGACGTGGGTGCGGGGCAGTGGGCGGGAGATGTAGGCAAAGCAGCAGGGTGTGGTGTCCGAGGCATCTAGGAGAAGGAAAGAAGAAAGGAGACCCTTTTATTCATTGCTAATATACACTAGCCATTGTGCTGGGCACTTTATATGATTTATTTTGAAAGGACTATTATCTTCCTTAGCAGAAATTGAAGCCCAGAGAGGCAAAGTCACTTGGCCGTAGATACACAGCGGTGGAGTGGGGATTCCATCAGAGGACTGAGGAGGTCTCCCCAAGCCCTTATCTAATCCACTTCCCAGCAGAGCAGTAATGTTTATCTTCCCAGCCAGATAGAGCTGGGTTTGAATACCAATTTCCCCATTTCCTAGCTGTGTTCCCTTGGGCAGGTTACTTAACCTCTCTGGGCCTCAATTTTCCCACCCGTACCTCAAGGACAGCTACTCAAAGAATAGGTGTGAGTACTAAATAAGATGATATATGTAAAACGATCAGCACAATGCCTGATCCTTAGTAGGTATTTAATTAGCTTTTCTTATCCTCTGACAAGCCCCATTTTTTCCACTTGTGAAATGAGAGAATATGATGGTCTCAGGAGGGTTTTAGTTAAGTGTTTAGAAGTTTCTTAGAAACCCTGCGTGTGACAGGCATGAGTCAGTCATATTTCAAGGTCAGCTTGAGCTACCCATGATGACTAATATCCCCAGCATCAGGCCACTCTCAGTGAGCACCTGCAGGGCTGGAGGGTGTAGACCTGCAGACACAGACAAGCTGATCGGGGAGTCCCTGCCATAAAGCAGCTTAGAGATCTGTCAGGGACAACAGGCCATCGGGGTAAACAATGCATACGAATGTAAATAATGGGGTGCAGACAGTACATGCTACAGTCGGAAAGAGGGCAGGGTCCGGGCCAGTCACTGGGATGGCGTGGGCATTCTAGGCAGAGGCTCCGGCCCCACGGGCTGTGGGGGTCAGGACCTGGACTTACATGGGGAGGCAGAGGTAGGAGCGCAGAGGGCGGCAGCGGTGAGGACGACAGCGAGGGCGGCCGCGGAGACCTTCATGGTACCTGTGGGCAAAGGCTGTGGAGATCCGCGTGCTGTCTCGGGGTCCTGTGCAGGAATCCTCCGCAGCGCAGCCTGGCCCTTTATAGGGGAGTCCGGCCCAGCAGAGAGAGGCCTCCACCCACCCAGGGGGAGTTTCCAAAATAGCCGTCAAGCTCTGGCTGATATCATAAGTGAAATTGCACAAAACGGAAAAGAAAACTGAAATAGCCTCCGGAAATTCGAGACTCTCTCTCTCTTTCTCTCTCTCCCCCCACCCCCTACTGCCCTCCCATCTAGAGTGAGGACTAAATAAGATGATATATGTAAAACAGTCAGCACAATGCCTGATCCTTAGTAGGTATTTAATTAGCTTTTCTTATCCTCTGACAAGCCCCATGTTTTCCATTTATGAAATGAGAGACTATGACTGTCTCAGGAGGGTTTTAGTTAAGTGTTTAGAAGTTTCTTAGAAACCCTGCGTGTGACAGGCGTGAGTCAGCCATGTTTCAAGGAGCCCCCTTTGCCCAAGCATCGGTGGAGGAAAGCTGTCTCCTCTGCCCGCAGCGCCAGCTTCGCCTTCCAGGGCAGGAGTCTTCCCCAGAAAGCAGAAAGCTGCTTCCTTGGGGACAAGGAGGAGGGGCAGTTAGGACAGGATCAGAAGCCACCGGGTCTTTATTTGATTGCCTTCGAAGTTCCTGCTCATTCATTCATTACAGATTTATCTCCCTTCTCTCATGCAGGGAAGGATGTTATTTACCAGGTGTTTTATCCAGCAGGGTCCTTTGGACATATAATCCCCAAAAGAGGTGAGAGCACCCACCCTATAATTGCAGCAGTGGATCTGAGCTGGGCGTTGGGGACCTTTTTACCAGATGCGAGTTGGGGTGATTCCTCTTGGGGGAGCTTCTTGCTTTCATCACAGCCACAGGGTCACCCCCATTTACTTGCTAAGTGATCTTTGGGAAAATTGCTTAATGTCTTTTTTTTATGTAATATTTTATTTACTGACATCTCTGAAACATGCCAAAAGTCATATGGTTAATAGAACTTGCTATGCTCACATGTTGCTGAACATGACAAATTTCTTCAAAAGTTATTTTAAGGTGGTGCCTTCATTCCATTCTTGAGGAATCAGCTTGTGAACATTACATTTAGGTGGTAAAATTCGGCTTACGAATATAAGATAAATATCAAATAATACCACATTTCTGGCTTACTGGAAAATATAACAGTTGTGACAGTCACGTGTAACACCTTAGTTAAGAGAGAAAATGGACAGGGGTGTCACAGAGTTATGCAAAGATTTTATGGTTGGAATAATCTTTAGCCCTTCTGTGAAACTATAGATGAGAAATATGTAGTAAATGTTTCTGTAATATAGTGGTTTCAGTCCATTATAGTGATCATCATTCCATTCATGCATTCAAATAACTGCTATTGTTTCTGATCACTGAAAACCAGATTTTGCAAAGCTAGTCGTTGCTTAACAAGCTGATGATATTACAAATCTCTTACACTAAAAATTGCAGCTTAAATCTGGAAAGGTTAAGGTAAAGCATACTTATTATTCATAACTACCTTTTTAGATATAAGAAGACTATGCTACTGTACATAATCAAGTATATTGTGGTGTATAGTTAATTCCGGCTACCATATTTTATATTTATTGGTCATCAATATCACAAATTTTATGCTCCAGAAGAAATATATCAATCTATTGAAAATGATTACAGTTCATTTTCTTTTAAAGACAGATCAACTAAATTGATGGAAGAACTGGCTTTTCTTGATATGTTGTTTTCAAATTACTGATACAAATTTATCAGAGAATTATATATTTTACCCAACATCAAATAATCCACAGAAGTTTCCAAGATAGATGCAATTCTTTATTTCCAAAAATAAATAAAGGCTTTCTCACTGAAAGCATTTACATTCCTAGCTCTCTAAAGCAAATATTAAAAAGAAAATACAGGCCAAGCGTGGTGGCTCACGCCTGTAATCCTAGCACTCTGGGAGACTGAGGCAGGAGGATCACTCAAGGTCAGGAGTTCAAGACCAGCCTCAGCAAGAGTAAGACTCCATCTCTACTAAAAATAGAAAGAAATTAGCTGGAGAACTAAAAATATATAGAAAAAATCAGCCGGACATGGTGGCACATGCCTGTAGTCCCAGCTACTCAGGAGGCTGAGGCAGGAGGATCGCTTGAGCCCAGGAGTTTGAGGTTGCTGTGAGCTAGGCTGATGCCACAGCACTCTAGCCCGGGCAAAAAAGAAAGAAAGACTCTGTCTCAGAAAAAAAAAAAAAAAAAAGAAAATACAAAAATGATCTCTTGGCTTTTGAATACTCCACTTAGTTACATAAAGTATTTTCTGTCCCAAGATTTTCTCAAATTCAAAAGATATTTACTTCCTAACAACATGACAAAGAGAATCCTCATTTCAAACCGTTCAGTCTGCTTCCATGGCAACACTGCAGGATTCCTTGGCTACCATAAGTCTCATTAGTTGACCGGGGAATTTCTCAATCTTCTTTACATCTTGAGCTTGGTCTATTCTATACATCAAACAAACTAAATCATCTGTTACTGTAATACACAAACTCCCATCTGAACGCCTGTATTTGAGAAGTGCATGCGCCTTCGTAGGCTCCGCAATGTAGAGCTGGTAGAGCTTCTCAGCCGCGCGCCTGAACTCCTCCCAGGTGTGGTACTGTGGCATCGTGGCCCAGGGTGGACCAGGACCAGGGTGGAACAGGAGAGAGGTAAGACCTCGGGAGCAGGCCCACCCACCTACCTACCTACCTACCTACCTGCTGCAGCCACTGACTGACACAGCAGTCCCTGCTTGGTGTCTTTAATGTCCTTGTTTATAAAGCAGGATATTTGGTTACAGGCTTGTTGAGAAGTGTAGGGGGAGAGATCTCTTGCAGCATATACTACCATTATTAGCTACCATTTACTAGGGCTGATCCTTGCCAGCCGCTATTCTACCAGCTTTGCGTGTGTCAGCTCATTTACTATTCTTGTCCCCATTTTATGGATGAGGAAACCTAGTAAATGCTGGGATCCCATCTCATTTCTGAGGTCTACTTGGGCACAAAAGTTACAGAATGTGGAAGCTTCAGAGGACTTTAAGCATCATTTTTTCCATGTTCTTCAGTTGCAGAGGAGGAAACCAAGGCCTGGTGAGTAAGAGTGACTTGCTAAGAACACACGGCGAATGACAGTGTTTGGATCAGAATCCAGTTTCCCTGGCTCCCACTTCAGTGCTCTGGCCACAGACTACTTTCCAACATGAAAGGGTTCATGGCTGGGGACATCCTTGAAACTGAAGCCACGTGGAACTCCTGCATTAGAGCCGGGGTCCTTACTCCATTCCAAAGCGTTGGATGCAGTAAATCTTCATCAATTCCTGTTTGGGTGGTTCAGAATTAGTGACAATTTGGGCTGGGCTAGGCTGAAATTGGCTTCCAAATAATCTAAGAGAAAAGTGTTTATTGACAGTGACAAAAGCGAACAAACTTAAAAAAATTGTAATGCTATACTGAGAACCTTTTCTGTTAGCAACTGTCATATGTGTAACTTGGTGGCTGAGGGTGACTAAGTCACCCAGAATGGGAAGACCTTGTCACATTTCTTCCTCATGATGACTTTGAGGCAGAGTGGTTGTTATTCTCACTTTATGGGAGAGAAAACTGAGCCTCAGAAGGGACAATTAACATCCTCAAGGTCACACAGCTGGTAAGTGGGATGCGAGCCCCAGGTGTTTCTGACAACCATGCCCAGGCTCTTCTCAGGGACTCACATCGGTGAGGCAGGTAAAAGTTATCAAGGAGTTTCTAGGTGCCAGGTGCTGTTCTAAGCTCTGGACAACAAGCCTCTCATTCCCTCCTTACAACGCATTAATCAATTCACAATGGAAACATAATTTTGGAAAGCACGGCCATCTCATTTAAAGAAACAAATTGCAAGCACTTTTAGAAACGTGTGTCCATTCACACAAAAATGTTCTGTCTATTTTAATTGTTTCCTTCACACAGCCCCCTTTGGTCTAACTTAAATTACCAACATGTGGGAGGCTGTGGAAAAGGTGGTTTAAGAGCAGGGACTTCTACTCATTAGCCAGGTGGCCTTGGGCAAGTTACTTCATATCTCTGGTCTCAGTTTTCTCATCTGAAATCAATGATAATAACAATAGCCCCTCACACAGATGTTGAGACAAATTCCTATAAATGTGCTTATGCTTGTAACATTCTTAGTATGATTCCTGACACATGGTAGGTACTTAATAACATAAGCTATTATTATCATGTTATCTTTTTTTCTTTTTAGAGACAGAGTCTTGCTCTGTTGCCCAGACTGGAGTGCAGTGGCACAATTATACCTCACTGTAACCTTGAACTCCTGAGCTCGAATGATCATCCTGCCTCAGCCTCCAGAGTAGCTGGGACTATAGGCATGTGCCACCATGCTGGGCTAATTTTTCTCATTTTTTGTAGAGATGGGGTCTCACTATGTAACCCAGGCTGGTCTCAAGCTCCTGGCCTCAAGTGATCCTCCTGCCTTGGCTTCTCAAAGTGCTAGAATTACAGGTGTGAGCCACAAGCCCAGCCTATCGTGTTATCATTAAGAGTATGAAGATGGCAATCCCTGTAAGGGTATTTTATACTTTATGCTTTTCAGCAATCTAAACTAGACCTCCAGTTAATATAAATTAGTGAACTTTAATACAACAAATTTTTATTTATTTATTACATAATGTCTTTCTTTAAACAGATGGGTCCATGGAGGATTAGACAGGTAATGTGACTAGCTTAAGGTCACAGCCTGCAGTGTAGAATTCAACATTGAACCCATGTCTGTCTGCGTTCATGGACTTTCTACCAAACGTCTACAGAAATCCCGAAACTCTTGGCAAGGCCCAGTTTTTCGCTATGAACTCCATTTCTATTTTCTTTGCTTGATTTCAGTTTCCCTCTTTAAGGAAGAAAGGAAAGTATTTTCCTGGATGCCAGATATGCTGAGTTGGGACCCTGGCTGAGGACGGAGGTGAGGAAACACGCAGACAAGGCCAGCGTGCTCCTCGTCTCTAAACTCTGCGAACCTTTCTGCTGTGTGTAAGTGTGTATGTGTGTCTGTGGATGAGTCGTGGTGAGGACAGGGCATGGGTCGGTAGGACGGTGGGGGGTGCTGAGCGGGACTAGCAGTGGGAATGTCAGGAGTGTTTTTCTTCCCTTTGGTGGTTCCAGGGGATTGTGGGGAGCAGAAGAGGGAGAAGAATCTAATTTTTATTCCGTTTCTTCCACTCACCTCCTCCTGTACAAAATCAGTGTTCAGACTTGATGGGCTCTCTGTAAGTTATCCTCTGGCTCTAATGTACTGATTCCATGAGCAAATGAGAGAGCCTGTGTAAGCAGTATGGTTCCTGGTACACGGTAGGTGTTCAGTGAATGACAGCTATCGTTATTATTCACTCAGCGCTTTGTGTTCCTGAAAACTAGGAACTGCTGCCTGTCTGATCCACTGCACTGGTGCGAGGATCAAGGGAAGTCGTCACCATGGATGTGCTTAGGAGACCGTAAGGTGAGGTGCAAACGTCACAGAGCCATCTCTGTCCTCCCTGCCCCTTCAGTGTGTGTGGCCCACCACTGCTCAATAGTTCCGTATTCACTCTTCAAATGGTTACTGAGAATTGCTGTGAGCCAGGCACTGTTCTGGGCACTGCAGACACCAGGGCAAGCAAGGCAGGCAAAGTCCTGCCCTCTGGAGCTTGTTTGGGTGTGGGGTGGGGTGCGGGGGCAGGAGAGACAGAGATGATAAACAAGCCAATTTACACCCCTTTATTGTGATCATCGTTTCACTGATCTTGTCTTAATGCCACGAACACAGTGACAGTGTCCTATGCTTTTTCTTTTCTATTTATTTGTTTTTCGTATTCTCCCCCTGCTTTCCAACCAATGTCCTGGACATAATGCTAAATCAATGCTGGTTTAGGCTTGATAACTTCTTATACCATCTAGATTAAGTACGTGGGCTCCCTAGGATCTGGTGTCTAGGTTCGAAATCCAGCTCTATTACTTATGCATTTATTTATGATAAAAGTTGTATATATTTAAGGTCTACAACATGATGTTTTGATATACATGTACATAGTGAAATGATTATTATAGTCAAACAAATGAATATATCTGTCTTCTCACGTAGTGACCACTTTTCCATTTGTGTGTGGTGAGAGCATCTGAAACCTCTTCTCTTGGCAAATTTCCAGGACACAATACGGTATTATGAGCCATATGGTGGCCCCCTTATCTGTGAGCCAGAACACTAGCCCCATGTTCTGTCCCTCACCGGATTTCTGTCTCTCAGAGCTTGGCCATAAAGCGAGACACAGTCCTCCCTCCTCCCTGCCTGGCGGTCCCTGCAGGCCAGCGCTCAGACGCGCTTCTAAAGAATGTCACAGACAGGCTTATAAAGGAAGTGACAAAAGTGTCAGTGAGTCCCCTTATCTGCACTATGTGCAGTTTCAGTTACCCTTGGTCAACCACGGTCAGAAAATATTACATGGAAAATTCCAGAAATAAATACATAACCTTTATTACGGTATATTTTTATAATTATTCTATTTTGTTATTAGTTATTGTTGTTAATCTCTTACCGTGCCTAATTTATAAATTCAGCTTTATCATAGACATGTATGTATAGAAAAAAACATAGTATGTACAGGGTTCGGTACTCTCTGTGGTTTCAGGCATCCACTGGAGGTCTTGGAACGCATCATGCTGCACATTAGAGGCTGCATAACTGCAACTCTGTCCCTCTACCACCGTCTTCCCATTTGCCCCACATCCCCACCACTGACAACCACAGTTCTACTCTTTACTTCCATGTATTTGACTATCTTTAGATTCCACATATGAGTGAGATCATGCAGTGTTTTTCTCTCTGTGTTTGGCCTGCTCTTATTTATTAACGATAACCTTGAGCAAGTTGCTCAGAGAAAGCAAGGGGTGCACAGCCCCTGCAGACGGATTGACGGGCCTTTCCAGTCCACAGGTCTGGTTCTTATCAACCCTCATACCTCCGGCCCTATCTCCCAGCGTAATCCATAAAACCAGGCACACATCCTCTCCAGCCTGGCGCAGTCCCTCTCCTCCCCTCCCTTCCTGGCCCAGTCCTGGTTCTTTCTCTTTCATTCACTCTTCCTAAGCTGAGCTGCTGCCAGCCAAGTCTGCAAGTGTGACGTTAGGAAACGGAACACAGGCAGAGAAAGGGAAACCTTATTTCCCTGGATTCCAAAGCTTTGATCAGACATGGAGTTCCCCCTGGGACTGTGTGGGGAGCAGCTCTGGCAGTTCTGGCTGCTCTTAAAAAAAAATGCCTAAAGCAGTAAAAGTCCCCCCATCCCGTAGGAATCTGGGCCCCCAAGAGAAGCCTGAGGTAGAGTAATTTCCTCCTGATAGGCCTTACTTTTCTGCATCTGCAAATTGGAGCATTGCTTTTGTTTCCTGGTCATTTCTCTCCTCTGCCCTTGTTTACTAGTCTAAATATTCCCCCCTCCCCGACTCTTCGTTTCTGTAGGACCCTGCTTGGGACAGGTGCTCCTTTGGTGCTGGCTGGAGGATCTGCCGAGGCAGCAGGGTGCCAGCTGAGGCCTCCCAGCAGGCCCAGGCCCTCGCCCAGGTGGAGGCAGGATTCCAACCCCATCCAGGACTCTTTCCA